CATGGTTGGCGTGTATAACAATTAATCCACAGGTTTTCATATAAAAAATGGACGATTTCGGTGGGTTGTCACGGTAATTAATTATATCAGTGTTATGTTGCAAAAATGGAGAAAAAATAACAAAGTATCTTTTGCTTGATGTGCACCGTGATCTGAATGCAGTTAAATCCATAATATGTATTACACAAAAATGAAAGTAGCTGAATTCAAAGGCACTAGGAGCAGGGTGTGGGGCTGCGGTTCGGCTGGAAAAAAAAAAGGGGGGGGGGGGGGGGGGGGGGGGGGGGTATAATATATAATGGGGGGGGGGGGTGGGTGGGGGGGGGGTGGGGGGGGGGGGGGGGGGGGGGGGGGTGGGGGGGGGGGGGGGGTGGGGGGGATATATATTAGGGGGGGGGGGGTGTTGTATATTGTGGGGAGGGGGGGGGGGGGGGGGGGGGGGGGGGGTGTGGGGGGGGGGGGGGGGGGGGGGGGGGGGGGGGGGGGGGGGGGGGGGGGGGGGGGGGGGGGGGGGGGGGGGGGGGGGGGGGGGGGGGGGGGGGGGGGGGGGGGGGGGGGGGGGGGGGGGGGGTTTTTTTTTTTTTTGTGGGTGGTGTGTTGGTTTTTTTTTTTTTTTTTTTGGGGATGTGATGGGGTAAGTGATATTGTGGATTAGAATAGAGGAAAGTTGGTTTAAGGTGGATATTAATAAGGGTGTGGGGGTTTGATGGGGTGGGGGGGGATTAGTATGAGTATTATGGGAAGTGGCAATAGGGGGTGTGTTTTGGTAAAGAATATGGTGGGAGGTAGGAAGATTAGGGGGGGGGGGGGGGGAAGAGGGTTGGTAGGGGGTGGTAGGTATTATGGTGGGTGGAGGGGTGTATTGGTGTTTGGGTTAGGATGGAGATAGATTGTGCAGTTAGGGACGGATATATTCTTTGGCACCTAAATTGTGATGGGTGGTCTAAGGGTTTTGTTATATGTGTATAGATTGTAAAGTGTGTAACAATGTCGATGTGCTGCCTTTGTTCTCCGCTCTTGTCTCAGCGCAGATGACACACACAAATGCGTTGGCACTCTTTAATCATGTAGACACATGGAGATGACTTCATTAATGACTGGGAGCTAGCTCTTCTCAAACACAAGGGCTGGGAGCAACATTATAAATGCTTACTCCTGCTGTCACACCGGGAGCATGCTGTATTGCAAAATGAAACCTGATGGAGTATTATGAGTTTAGCATCTGCAATGAGCTGATACGGGGTGAAAAATAGTGTACAGTTTAAAATGTCACCACTTCTGCTTCATTTGGCCTCAATGATCCTCGGACCAAATGCATCCTTTACTTTAAAGTGCTGTTGTCTACAATAAACTTGGTCCATACATTTATTTTTTCTAAGGTGTGTTGACAAAATGAGGAGTAAAGCAGGACAAATGTACCTGACTTAAAGAGGTTCTATATCTATACAGTATAATGTCCGGGTGCATATTATTTTATTTAGAAGGTCTGGCGCTTAGGGAACATATTTGCATATTTTCCAGGTGGCTTTAAAATCACCTTGATCACACACTCACCTGAAGGACAAGTAAAGGCCATCTTCACTTCATCTTCCCTCCTCGATCTTTTAGCTTCACGCGTCCTGCAATGACATACAATATACAACATTACACTCTGCACCTCTGCATGAATACCAGAATGCCCATCCCAAGTAGCTCTTCAGCACAATGCTTTTAAGTCACGTTTTTTTTTTGTTTATCATAGATTTGTTTTCATCTACAGTTTAATGTGTGTTTTCTAGGCCTGATATTGCACATGTTGAACTGTAAATCCTGAAAACAGCTGTGGTCTTCAACTTGACCTCTCCAATCCCCAAATTTCATAGGCCATGCCCATATATGGTCATTATAAAACAATGCTCAGATTCTCATACTTCAATCTGTTTCTATTGTTACCCCTGTAATACTGTGAAACCAGCTCAAAAAATGCACAAACAATAATACTCAATTTTGCATTTATTGTTTTTATTGGTGAAAGTAAACACAGGGCATCACACTGTACATTAAGCATAGAAGACATGATTATAACAAAAAGTGAAACTCTTTAAAACATTTTACATGGTCGTCCTGTGGTTATGTGACAAAGGCATTTGTGTGTTTCTGTACTCCATCTCTTCACCCAGATCTAAGCTACTGCAGCATTCCCTGTCTGCATAGACCCAGTTCTTTTTGCAGAGCTTTCCTTATCCCATCTCTCCTACCCCTACATTCACCCATCAGCCTCCCTTCACTCCATCTAACATACACTTACATCTGTGGGGGATACAGCAATGCCATGAATGATAACCCCTCCTTTTCTAAAGCAACAGAGTAAAAAAGACCCATGGGCAAATCACAGTCATGCACATACATCATATTTTAATATCAACCCATGTGTGCCAAAAACCTATGCTGCCATTTTAAGTACCTACCTATATGCTTCAAAATGATGTATCAAAGGATAAAAGCATTTTCTTCATAATACTGAAGGTTTATCAGCCTTGGTTGAGGTTGCCCAATTGCCACCTATATCTCCCCCCCTGCTGCCATCCCTTTCTAGCAGTCCATTTGGAAATGCCAGACTCAAAAACATGCAGCGGTTTAATTATTCTCACTTCCAAGCAAACTGGGGCGTACCACTATAAGCAAATGTGGAGGAGGGAACAAGAGAGATCGACTGCAAATCACAAAGAGTATACGCTTGGACCTGTTCTGTTATGGAGACGTATGCATTCTATGAGAAAAAAATATATATATTTTACAAACGCACGCACACACTGAATTTAATACTATTTATATGTAGGATTGGCTTGGGTGACGTCCCCCTATATATTGGATAAAACGCTATTATTTTGTAAATTGAGTGAATGTGAGGTTATGTTGTGGGGAATAATTCATCCTGAATAATTTCCGTCACATCATACTTCTGCCTGTGCCGGAGGAACACTTTAAGATGAAAGAAAATGCTAATGCCGTCCAAATCTGACTGAAAAATGTGTGACAGCGTCCATATGCGACTGTGTACATAGTGTAAAATGTTTCCGTGTTTGGAACGATATGAACTGAATTATAAGTTGGTTGTTTGCGGCTTGTACAAACATAATAAACACAATCATTATGCATTGCTAGGGTCACCAAAATACACACGGAAAAACAATGAGAATGTGAGAAAGGTTACTTCACACGTTAATGATCAAGATGCATTTTGATAATTGCTGTGTGTATTGAACCCCGGACGACTCCTCTCCTCTGCTGGAGTGACACCAGTGAATGAGTGCTTTTCCTGTCTGTGTGCCGCGCCAACATTTGTATGCAATAATAAGAATGAGTGCGTGTGAGTGTGTCTATGCCAGCGGACATTTTAGGTCTACCCTCCTCACACTGACTACTGCCAAACGCCTTAAGATGGTGGCACCTTGAGGCTGCGAGACACACTCCTCCTTTTCCCCCTCTTCCACTTCAGGGCCCAACACAGGACAGGCCCACCTTCCTCACCCCGAGCTTCCCTAATAAATATTTCATTCACCCTTCTCTAATAAGGATATTAGACGAGTACACCCCAGCCAGGCGTAAATGAGTTCGTACTCATCAAATTTACATAAAAGGGCCAGATGCTAATGCCAAATGTAGCCGCCATTGCTAAATGTGGTGTGGAGGGTCCTCTGCTCCATAATTAAATCACCGATGGGCATACTTTCAAATGATTTGCTCTTTTCGAAATGTTCTTCGGCCTCAACACATCACCCTTCATAACATGCAGGCATCTCAATGTTACTCGTGTATTATTAGTAACAACACAAAATCTGTAACTGTATGAAGTGTCAAGCACATAAAAGACTATGAAACAAGTAATATATTATTTACAAATTCTTTTCATTTGAATTTCAAATTAATTTCAAATGCAATAATACTTACAATTATCCTCATTTATGTATAATGTCTGGTATTTGCATAATCACACGCCATGCAGCACTATCTCGCTTAACATGTGCAAAAATGCATTTATGCACCAGGTGATTGTGCTCGGCGGCTGCTCAACAGTATCTAATCCTGCAGGCACATGTGAATGTATTAAATGCATAGAAGCTGTTTGCATTTACAAACATTTCTACTTTGTCACAAACATTGTATATTAACAAAAGCATTGTGTGGGATTTTTGTCTCCATCCTCTGATGCACCATTGTTTATCATGAAAAAATAACATTGTCCCAAATCAATAATGCATATTGTGTGTGCATGGTTTTTGGTAATTTTTACTTAGTCAATGTCCCCACAATGACCTTACATAAAAATGATGTCTTACATGCTGTACTCTATTGCATAAATAAATAACAACATGTTTAATAATAACAATCATTTGATCCAAGATTGCAAATCCCATCGTGTTCTTCCCTTTGGAGTGATAATTATTATGCTCCAGCTGATGCTTTAGATTGAGGATTTGCGAGACGCCTTGCCTTGCTGTACAGTGTACATGTGTCCATGAAGGTGATGTGCATATCTGCAATGGGGGAGGGCCACAGAGCATGGCAGAGCACAGCATGCCCGCTGCTCTCCACAAGGAGCTCAAGTGGCCATGCATGATGTCATTAAAAAGGGCCGAACCATGACATTCCTTTGTGGATTATTACAAAGTTATGGCTTGTTGCACTGTCATAGAGGATGGCCACCTCTTTTAAATAAGGATTACACATTAAACTCTTTGTCATATCTCTTGTGCTTTGCAATCAAAGATTTGTTTTAATACTAATGTGAGATGTAATACAGCTGCTACATGCAAATAAAGAATAATTTATCCACAAATATTAAAACCAGGAATAGCTTAAAGACGGATGCTGACATGCGCGGAGTCTCACCTACGGTTGCCGTGGTGACACCAACCAGAAGGAACAGATTCTCCATCAGTGCGCATGCGTTGTGTGTGTGACAGAGCAGGAGGCGGAGGGCCCCAGAAATACTCATTGAACTTTGTTTTTTTAGGCTTACATATCACATATTAGCATAATATTCAAGTCTTTCTGATTGCTGTTAACACATGCAATCTTGCTGTGCTAATAGGCAAACATAGACATATTTAGACAATACAGACTGTGTATTAGCCAGTGATATGGCAGAAATGCATTCCCACCAAAACACATACCCACGGCTCATCATCGAGCTTTGAAAGTATACAACACAAACTCACAGCTGCTGATGCTGATTTCTTGCAGTGAAGAGGAGCTGACACAGACTATAGGGGTCATCTGCTCATCCGTGGATGATGGTGGCCTAGGCTTACTCCACAGTCATGAATGCACTGAATTCATTAGCCTTGGTGCACAGATGGTGTCTGGCTGCCTGTCTCAAGTTCAAGTTCACGTCCAGGAGACACACAGCACACACGTGCAGTCTGATCCCTCACATGAGGGAGACACATGTGTCCCCTTCATCTATATATTGCTGAATTTCTAATTGGTTACACAGAGCTTATGAAGACACTTTAACCATATGCTAATTCTATTCCTCCACAACAGTGTGCATTCTCCCCTCATAATAAATATGTATAAATCTTGTATATATATATGTATTGTATGAATTTGATAGCACTAACATACAACCACTAGGAGACAACATAGAAACTATTTCACCAGCCATTCACAAAGCAAAGCTCACAGAAATCAGAGACTTGACCATTTCCGACTCTTGAGTGACTAAAAACTAGCCACGATCCATTTCAAATACAAACATAGTGGTACATGTCAATGGAGGAGATATGCACAACAGCTTTTAACAGCTTTTGGCAAACCATCTCGCAGCTTATGACCAAACCATCTCGAAACTTATGACCATTCTTTCACATTTAGACTGAAATAAGTGAATGTGTTCCAAACTAGACCTCTAATGCTAAGAAAAACAATCAAATACAAAAGAGACAAAAAGGAAAATAATAATAACAACACTAAAAATAACAATAATGATACACCGTGTAAGGGTGTGGCAGTTTCCTATAACACTGACAATGAGAAATGTAAAGTAAAATGGCATCAGAGATAAGCAGAAAATGAAAGAATCCACAACAGAACAAAAGCTCATTAGGCTCGCAGGCGTTGTGGTGATGAGGCCTGTGTAAGAAGAGGCCTAACTTGCTCTGATAAAAATTAACAGAAAGTGAAGCGTGTTTGCCTTGAGTAGAAAACAAAAGCTGACGAAGTTTGTGGGCTTTACTATTTATGCATGGTTGTAATACACCTTCCCTCTCATTCCAGACAACAGTTAAACGACATCTGCTTTCACTTCATGGTCAAGTTCAAAAACAGACAGTGCCATGATGCCACACGCATCTCAACGTAACATCCTCCTCCAGCTGGGTCCCGCGCAGTGAAGCGCGTGGGGCCAATAGACAGCACAACTATGTCTCTTTAGTTTTAACATAATGAGCCAGAGTCCTCATTATGAGCACAATTGCTAAGACATTACGCATTCAGGACCGTTACTGGCCCTCCACAAAGTTTTTTTTCTGTCTCTCCTGGAAGGGGGGGGGGGCGTACGCGTCGGCAGAAGCTGGGAAACGTCGCCTCTTTCTTTGGGGATGCAGATGAGTCTGGCGCACTTGACGTCTTTTCATGACCCCTTTGCCCTCCCATCCACTACACACACGCAGCCACAGCCCCCACCCCGGGCCCTTAACGCCGTTGCTGTCTATCATATCGGCCCTGGGCATGGCATTGCCACTTGCCCCAACCGAGCGTGGGAATGGGATCGTCCAGTCGTTCACATATCCTGCGCTGCGGTTAACGGAATCAATTAAGAAGGGCTGACCCCCCTCACTTACACACACACACATACTCCCCCCACCTCTCCTAACCCCTCTCTGTGTCCCTCTCTATCCCTCTCTCAGTTTTTGTCACTTAAACCAAGTCCTAATTATTACTGTTTGGGATGCCGGCGCCGTGTCCTGGAGAGGAGAAAATAATACAGATAGAAACTATAGCTTATGAAACGGTCACAGGTGGGAAATATACAGTATATTGTTAAATAATTAAACAAATATGTGACTATTGCATTTCACAAATTGTGAAGGACTAAAACAAAGTTAGAACAGGGTGTATATGAGCGTAACCTCACCATCAATGGTCTTACAATCTATAAAAAAATCAATAACAACATCATCCCCACAAAATTGAAATCATGACATTGACATTGTGCTTGGGTCCCTGGGGGGGGTAAGGATATAACAGTTGAAGTCGTCGACGAGTTTGGAGGTAGTTTTTACTTTCGGTTATCTAGCTTTATGACGAGCAGAACACTCATACAGCTAGATAACCAAAGATAACAACCCACTTCCCATTCAACTTTATGGATCCACTCGTGTTTTGCTTCTTCGGTTCTCTTCATCGATTAAGTTGATGTTGTAAAGCCGTATACTGTCCATTTATAATCCTTATAGGCTATATTTCACACATTCACCATGGAGGACTCCAGCACACGCAGGTAAAGGAGAGCAACAATACTTGGAGATCAGGTTTATGACATATAATCCCAAATTAATGTCATATTCACTTGACGTTAACCAATATTACTGAGTTGGAGAAGGCCTTCAAAGCGCGGTTAAGGTGCAGCCATCCTTGCACAGGGCCCTAATTTGCAATGCAAATAGCTTCAATCCCACAATAGGCTCTTTCGCCTCTATTAAGTCGTCGTGGCAGAAGCAATAGATATCCTGTGAGGCTGGCGCAGGAGAAACACAGAGCAAAAGAGCCAGGGGAAATCCGGTTTCCTGTGGAAAGTGAAATAATGGCGTAAGGAACTACGGCGCAAATGTACCGGATTATGAGAACAGAATCTGTTTTTTTGGAAAAGGGGGCAAGGAGCATTAAGTTGTCCGTTCGTATCCCGGAGGATCGAAAGAGTCCGCAAGTGCAGGGAACACCGATGCTCGCTCGTTCGCTATGAAAAGTGTTCCAAATTAGGGGCCATCCCCCAAGGAGAAACGGGCCTGGGGGTGGCCAAGATATGGACCAACCCCGGTGAGGTCAAAGGCCTCAGACCACGAGCATGTAGCGGTGGTGATGTCATAAGAACAATTCTCATATGCATCCTCCTATCCACTCTCGATCTCCATCCGTGTCTCGGCGCTGTGGAATATGTCCGCCTCTTTGCAAAGCGCTGGTCGCCACGCTGTCTCCCACAGCAGGCAGAGACGAGAGCGGACGATTTACAATCAGACAGAAGGCGATTCGAGTGATTTTGGTGAGAGATGTGCTGTGTTTGAGACTATACGTGCAGACACATCACGAAAAGGCGCTCCTTTAGCTGCGTCAAGTCTCCCCATTCCAATCCTCAGAAAACGCGATCGGCGTCAACCTCTTCCCATCACAACGTAGTCTATACTTTTGATTCTGCGATGAAATGTCTCCTTTCCGTACATCCAGTGTGTCCCCAAATAAGAGAGAAGAGCAGCAGTGGTTCGCTTCTCCCTTGGACACAGCGCGTCGGGCTCTGCTTAAAGCCTGCGCTCCTGCGTGTGCGTGTCCCGGGCATTTGGCAGAGTTCGCCACAGCACCGCGGCTCCTGCTCTACCCGTCCACACATGGGATATTTGTAACTGAGTCAACAATAACAGCCCGTGGACATGTGATGGATCATGCGCACCAGCCTGCAGCTGCGGGCTGCTCCTAAAGTTGCACCATAGCAGAACTTTTATTGGACCCAGACAGAATAATGTGTATATAGACAAACCCCCAAAGTCATGCAAACTGACATGCATGCACCTGCTTCTACGACAACCGAGCCATTAGCTATATGTCCATGTTTACGCGTTTCTTCCATCAGTTGAAGATATATGTTTGACCATGTTTAGCCTGTAACTTCAATTTGTGGGTGGAGCCACCGGCGTACAGAGCAAGCAAGGCCCGTTATCAATTAGCTGCTAAACATGCACTGGCTATATAATTATCAATCAACAATTTGGAATATTGTTGGCTAATAAGTCTCTCTTATTATGATTTCCTTAGAAGGTAATGATGAATAGAAAATATGTAAGCCACAACCAGCATATGGTAAAATATAAGAAACACTGGTGGGCCTTGAATTTACATGTCTTCTACAAAACGCGTTAAATCGCGTGCTAATTAAAGAGGGTGTTAAACCCTAATGTCAAAGGTGAACACAATATTGAAATTATTTAAAAATGAAGAAAAGATCAAACGTTCTCAAATAGCAATTCATTCCTTATGAAAAGAACAGGTTATTAAAAAATGAACAAATTACACTCCAAGTTTAAAATAACAATAACTAAAAGAGAGTTAATAAAGAATATCTTAGTTCCCTGTGAAAGCAATTATACTTTTTTGGGAGGCTACAGAGAATAAAGAGTATACTAAAGTTGAACTTACTTGTATGGATGGAGTGATAGTCAAAAACATAAAAATATCAATGAGGTGTTTGAGCCACTGCACATGGCCTTGTGTCCACTGGTGATTCCGCTATCCCAGAAGAGCGTCATGGTGGAGATAGACACGAGTGTTAAAAGTCTGTGTGCGTAGCAGTGTTACAGGCTTCATCTGCTCTGCTCTAAAGCATGCGCGTATCCCGGCACACGGAACACGGCCAAGGGGAGGAGGGGGAGGGAGGGAGGAGGAGAGACCCACAACTTTCCCATACATACTGCCACCAAATATAAAGTGTGCAGGTTTTTTCCCTTGTGGGGTTCTGCATGGGTGGGACACAGACGTGCAGGAGTGGAGGAAGGGGTGATGGCCAACAGCGCGTGTGTGTGTATGCAGGAACCCAAATAAGTTTTTTGTTTTTTTCATTTTGCGCACACACTTTGGAGCAGTATTGTTCCGCTCTTTTTACATGTACACTTTGCACAGTTATTTCTAAACCCAGAGTACAAAGTTGACACGCGTTAAACACATGAACATGAATCTTCTAAGAAATTGATAAGCCAAACACGTGATTATTGAAAAGTAAATCACCTTACGGCCTATATCATCAAAGATATTCTATTCGTTTTCCATCAGATAACATATCACTGTAATGCTCTTAAATAGATCAGTGACAGATATAGTCTATAAACAGCTCAAACATTCTAAAGATAAATAATTCGTCTTTTATTTGACCAAATTGGCTCAAAACTACAGTGTTAAAATAATAACCAACATAAGAATATAAATCAATAATAAAATCTGCTCCCTCTTTCTCACGCCCTCACCCCTCTTTGCCTAATTGCGGGCGTTTCCATTAGACTCGAGCGGATTCACGTTGAGTTTAACAGCGAGGGCACGTTCGATGACGTAGACAAGCATATCAGCTACGTGCAGCCATATTTAAATACATCAAGGCAATTAGCGCATCCAAATATGCAAATACCGCTTACTCTCGAGTCTGCACGGCGGCGGTCGGACTAATTTACGCTTCAGACACTTCTGCAGCGGCTCTCTTCCTTTCACAGCCCACCTGCATAGTTTTGTTCTTTTTATATTTTGGACCGGGACGACCGAAAGAAATACCAAGGAGAAGAAATGGATCGGCGGCTTCTGCATGGAAACACGTCCATGCGTAACGGTCCGCTTCTTCACAACCTATGATGGTATTATTTACAACATAGATGCATATTCAGAGGGCAGATTAGCATGCGTCTTTGTTCACGCTGGCACGGGAATAGACGAGAAACCAAACGTATTGTGCTCTATTACATTTACGACAGAGACAACCCACAAAAAGCTTCATAACTTGAGTTTTTCTTTTTGTTTATTTATTTGTTTTAATGCGTGTATAAGCTTGACGGTGAGAATCATGTAAATCGCGTTTGAATAGTAATGGTGCGCGTGCATGGACAAAGAGCTGGTGGCACAGGTTTCTCACAATGAAACGGGACACGGTGGCTCCATCGCTCCCAGCTTTCAACGCATGCATTCTGCTTTGAGAGAAAACATTTATTTTAAAACTACAATCTAAACTTGACTTCTGTAAGAGAGTGACGCAGCACTCAAGACAGAAAACTCATCACTGGCCAACGGGTGCGCGCGCAATGATGTGCCTTCTGGGGAGCGCGCGTCTTCATTTGATGCCAAAGAACCCAACCTGCCGCATCAGAATGACATGGTTCAGGCTTTAATATACAACTTAATTACGCTTTTTGTTTTACTAAGTTGCCTGCATCAGACAAAAGTTGCGTCTAAATCTCCACTTACCTGTGAATGAAGAGAGCTGTCAGAAAGGTTACGCCGCGTGGTAAACTCTCATAATCTCATGTCATGATGTTTTCCAGACTGACAAGTTTAATGTGACGGCCACCACCAGAGGACATGCACTTTCCCATAGGCTACTCCCTTGTCATTGAACCTTGCGCTTAAACGGATCGTGGCTGAACTCCAGTGGTCAGTCTAGTTGACGCGCAAAGATATTCACTGCGAGAGCCACATAGTGTGTCACTTCTCCACCAATGCCTAACGTTTCCTGAAAAGCACAAGTACTGTACTCGTGTAATGCACACGTGGGTAAAAGGACTTTATATATAACGCGCCAAAAGACATGTTCATGATCACTGTGCATTGTTTAAACAGTGTCAAACCCAATTTGGACACGCATGGAAACGTATACCTCCTTAACACCGTGATCTACTTTAAACAGCATGGTCATTGTTAACCGCGAATCAAAATAATAATAATAACAATAATAATAATACTTAAATACATTTCGTGATTTTTACCATAACGAACGATAAGATGAGATGAGACAACTAATACTAGTCTACTCCCACTACTATTAATTACAACCATTACTATGGCTTCTACTACTACTGCTACTACTACTACAACTCATTACTACTACGCTAATATATGACTGTCTCCACAGGCCTACACGAGTGTGCCAAGACTAAAAACTGAGCTCCTGTCTTTGCTGAGTGACTCTATGTTGCCATCTTGTGGTCAACATTCAGAATGCCAAGGCCAATTCGTCGCTCTCATTTTGCACATGAATGCGAATAAATACACATACAAATCCTTTCTTGAAGTCAATTCGCGAGTTGAGGAGAAAATAAAATATTTATTGTCCATATAGTTTTTTTTCTTTTCGAGGAACCAGACACTCGGGTTACATATGTATTTCTTATGTTCCATGACATATTTTTAATGGGCTGTATTGGTTTAATGTGGATGCAGTATATGCATGTTCTCTGGATTAGTTATAGTTTTAAGTCGTATTTAAAGTTTGTATTTTGTAAATATATAGTGCTGTCGTCTGTCTGATTCACAGCCGTCTCTCAGTTGCCCATGCACGTCTGGCTTCTTTACTTGTGTTTGGTAATCACAGTGATTTATGAAAACAGTGATGAATTAAACCACATAGGCTTATGGAGTCAGCCTCAAAATCTAATGACACAGACACACAAACTGTTGAGACACTGTTGACAGAATAGTATCGGCTACAATATACGTTCTTAATCATAAAGAAAGGGGAAAAAGCCTTACAGTTTGAGCTTTGCAATATGCACGAATCTCAGTGTTACGCAATTATCATTAAAACAGTATACACACAGGGTTGGGCGCCTTCTTGGTCAATGTCATTCCTCATTTACACAATTTTTTATGTTTTGAATAAAACAATTATCTTACAGTCTTAACATAAAGTATTTCCATTGCATACTCACGAAGAGGGGCGTTTAAATTATTTAACGTTAAAAGGAATGCACACAAAATAAGGACGTTTTGTCATTAATTTTTCTAATTTTGCATTCGATACCCCAAAATGCATTTACCCATAATACATAATATTAAAAAGGGGGGGAAATCCTCTAATGACATGTAAATGTACCCCCAATGCGTATTCGCAGATAATAACAGCAGAAATTGGTGTTGGTCACGCATCACGCACATTCCCATTAAACGTTTGATAAATTCTAAACGTGCAACAACCACAAATAATAAAACGTGCCTTTGACAATGATGTGTTTGATTTGGGTGTGAGTGTGGTCTGCGCGCATCGCCCTTGGAAGCGAGGGCCTCGCCTGCTCTGGACGCACGGACAAACTGACTCTGCGTCTCTGTTCTTGTCCCTGGATTCATTCATATGGCGGGGAAGACACAAGGCGCTCACCTCGGATCAAGACCAAGTCCCAAAAGCGCGTCCAATTACGCCTCTTTTTAATTGGTGTACAGCATGCACGCGCGCCGGGTGAGGCAGGCCTGCAGCTCAGCACATGTCCAGCGAACCCGCCTCCAACCTCTCCACACCCACTTTACACATACACTACATTCTATCTTCTTTTTTTTTTAGATTTACAGAAAAAACGAAGGATTTTGAGCTAAACGTCTAAATAAAATATAAATCTTTTTTTGCGCCACTGTTAAAACTCTTAACTAAATTGTTGAGACGATGTATTGAATATTTTTGTTTAGGGAAAGTGTGGTACAATAGACACAGCTGTTTTATGTTCCTGCATGCGGTCCAATCATTCCGAATTTGGGGGATAAAGAAAGTTTATAACTGAAGTATGTGTGATCTAGGCCTATAGGTCTGATGTTGAGGCTTTGTTGAAACCCATCCTCAGACACCGAGGACAGCTGAAGTCATTTCCAAAGTGTAATGAACACTATTCATAATGTCTTCGATGAATATATTTAATTCATATATTATTACATATGTTATTCTGTGCCCTGACATTTCCCATATATCCAAATAAAATAATAAAAATAATACACTACAAACAATTAAGATACTTATTCTTCAGTACACTATGCCTTTTTCTACATGAAGTGAAAATAACAACTATACATCTTTATCAATGGTGAACAATAGTATTACTTGTATTGCACATTGGCAACGTGACTGACCTTACTGCAAGTGGTGAGGGCAGGTAACAGTATGCTTTTTTGAATCACTAATTGTGAATTCTTACATGTAAAAAGGAAAACAAATGAACAAATAAAGTCTATAATTGAATAATCAAGGCGGTTGTATTTGAACAAATTCTTTTATTGTCTTGTTTGTCAATATTTGCAAAACCATAAATGAATAATAAAATAAAAGTTGGGTTTACAACACAGAATGCCACTGGCTTTGGTTTCTCCAAACTTGATGCTGCCTGAAAATACTCTCTCAACCTTCATGTACTCATTTACAACGAGAGAGAAGAACACTGTTTAAGAGGCACTGCCCCTGTAGACTACACAGACGGTATACAGTAACATCAAAGTGAACCTGCATCAAATATGCACATAAAATATAATACTAGTGACAGCAGATACGGGAGTGGGAGGCAGAGATATAAGTGGGACTTTCATTGTAAGTGTTGCTTAAACTGTAACATAATGTCTGACATTTATCCATCAGTCTGAGAATACATGGGGCAGAACATATGCCGAGAGGAAATTAGCATCATATATTTGTAATAAATATTACCCAGACTGAATAGTGACAACTGTAACATTTTGGAGCAGATATTATAAAAAATGATAATGTCCAGAGGAGTTAACTCAAATGGCATTCTTAAGGTCAACAATGACACATTGAATTGTCCGTGTTATGGAGCGCTCATATGTCCTCGTAATGAAAGAATAATGAAACCCCATGTATTTCTGTGTCCTCCCTCGTCCCAGTCCGGTGACATTTTGCACTAACAGCATTCAGTGTGTCTCTCCGACAGACTGGCACTGCGTTGAGCTGGCTGTTTGGACTACGCCCTGAACGGTTCAGGGCTCAATAAAAACAAATGAAACAACATGTGCAACTGCACATAAAAACTCCACTAAGAAACCAACAGAAATGTTATTATATATATTTATATATTAGAAAGCTATACACAAGCATGTTAATTTCACAGATTTTTTAAAAGAATCTTAATATTACCGTTATTATATTTAATTAGAAATACACGTTTAAAAACAAACCTCTACAAAGATAAAACAGTTCAGCAAAGCATTGGATATCAGTCTGTTTGTCATGGCTTAGGGCTCCTGTGCCCTTCTGGGTCAACTCTCAATCCCTTATTAGCAAAGCTATCAAAAAACACATTCTGGCTTATAGAAACTACAAAAAGCCACAAAATGCTTTGCATTGTATTCCTTTCATATGAAAATATAAGCAAATGTATCGTACAATTATTTTTTTTCTTCATTTTATGATTTAATAATAGTGAATACTTATTACTCGATCCGGATTGAGTTTTGTTTTGGACAACTAACAAAGCGCTCAGATCAGAGGCCCTGGCCTGGCTCTGGTCTTTAGACGAGCAGTGAGAGCCAGACTCCAGCTGGGTGCGTTGGGTCTGTGAGTTTACCTGTACAATCCTTCAAATGTTGCATATTGACTTTTCACCACATAAGTTACTTAACCATGTAATGTCTGGCAACGTCTGACCCCTGCCCCATCCCTCCTGACCCTTTATTTACATAAATACGTTGAACCTGCAACATGACATCATCTAAAGTTAACACACATTTTTGCAAGGGACCGCAGAGAAGGTATAGCAATGAAAACTGACACTGTACATGTTTTATCAACTCAAGTGCTCGGTGCCACTGGACACACTCACTCTCAAGCTTATGATCTTTTTGTCTTTTATTCTTCCTCTTTTGAGACAAATGTAAGCATGGTTCATGAAACAGTACCTGGCATTTTTTGTTTGTATTTGTCGATATGCATATATGTACACTGATAGGTGTGGAGATATATGCATATGTGAATTATTCAATCACACAATACAATGTATGCATAGATCCCCAACAAAAGTACCCCACATCCTGACCGAACAACCCACCCCTCCCAAAAACAACATCCAGCGTTATATAAAGTCAATATGTATAGCACACGCACTCTGCAAGAAAAATAACATAGAAAACGAAATGATAGAAATGATGGGTTCGCTTCTTCCTTAAAGAGATAAAGGGTTTAGGGGCTGTGAGGAGGAGCAGGGGCTCTTGTAATGCCAGGTGTTGGAGCTCAGGTTGACCCGGGACAGTAGAGGACGGGATTATCATGTGGCCCATCCTTCTGAGAGGCGCACCCGTTTGATGGATGGGCTCTCGCGCTCGTCCAGGGGCCTGCCCAGTCCCAGAGGTGAATGGAACTCGTTCCTGTGCTCATCGCGGTCACTACCTTCATGGGAGCTGCTACAACTGCTCAGGCTATCAACAGGGGAGCGCCCTGAGTCCTGGCGGCCCGACGGGTTCTGGGGGAGCACCCCGCCACCGTAACCCCCAGGGGTGCTGCTGGTGCGATCTCTAGGAGGAGAAACAGGTTCGGACTTGATGTGCAGGCTTTGACCAGAGGGCAGGGACAGATTTGAACCCTGACATAAGTGAGAGCTAGAGCAGTTTCTGTAGAAGGAAAGGAAAAGCAGAAGGGTTACAGAATGACAGAGAAAAGAAGTGAACTTAAAGTCAAACATGCTTTCACAAAGAAACATCAACATCAGGACATAGGAATATTGTTGGTGTGCTGAGTGGAGCTGAAAGGACTGTGTCAAATAAAATCATTCTCATGCATTCATACAGAGAGTAATTCTCACCCCAGCTGATTGAGAGCTGAGTGCTGCATGTTCTGGAGATGCTGCTGTTGCCACCCGCTCATGGATCCCAAATGGAGGGAGCTGCCGCTGTTAAAGCCGGACAACGAGGACAAGTCGGCACTATTCAGAGAATACTCTGTGGGGAACAAAAAAAACGCTTTAATTAAGTGTGTTTGAAGTCCATTGCTTTTCAAACAAGTCTGATTACAAATGTAAGTCGATAGCACCCTCTGCTGGTTAAATACAGAACTACATATAAGCCTTGTCATGCAAATACGTAACTGCTACATTTGAATAATTTTTTGGGGAAAAAAACATGGAAAATATAAAAACTATCAGGTTTCATACAGATACCTCTAAAAAATATAATTGAATGAATAAAAAAAAAGGGAAATTCTTGGTTGAAAATGTTGATGATGTAGATTTCTTAATCTTATAATATAACTGTTGATTATAAAATGCATTTAGTTGTCTTAACCATTTAATTCTAAATGTACAAAGTGTCAAAAGAATAAGAACAGTGTTTCTTACCAGTACCATATGAAGTGGAGATGGCTGAAGGGTAGCCACCCATGCCTTGGCCTGGTAGGGTGGGAGTGGCTACTGACACAACAGGAGTGGCCAATGACTGGGCAGACTGAGAGTTGTTTATTCTTTGATTCTGTTGAAGAAAAATATACAAATTAGCAAAAATCTATTCGCTAATCTATTTGCTAATTCTTCTACAAAAAAAATTGCAAATGTACAAACATCTAACAAAAAATCTTTTAGCAAAAAATAAAATTAAAACTGCAGCAATGCAGGGAAGTTGAATTGTTTTCTTTTTCATTTCATCACAGCAGATGCTGAGAGAAGAAATGTGAATGCCAACTTCTTGGGAAACTAATCGCTTGACATGCGGCAAGACTGAACCCTGCCAACCCTATCATTTACCACTCGCTCTGAGGACCCACTGTCGCTATAGAAACGCCAACAGTCTCCATGGCAATGAGCGACTTCTGCTCGATACACAAAGGATCTGAATAAATACTAAGATCAAATAAACATTGAGCAAAGTCTCTGTGTTTTTAACAATCTGAAGAAGGCACTCTTATGTTGTGTGAGCTTACATCTGTGAGGGGTCAGACACAGAGGAGGCAGGCTGCTTTTACCAAACTCAACCACATGATGGCAGTGTGTGTCTTCTTTACAGGTTTAAGAGATGACATTGGGCTGTTTGAGCAAAGTCAGCAACAATAAAGGTGAAAGTTATTCTGGAGAAGGGCTGACTTTCTCAAAAGCAATGCATCTGGTGATACCAGTTTGGATTTATCGGACCACACAGTCAGTTTTGTCCCAACATATTTTTGTTTGTTTGTTTCAATTACAATAGCCTACAAAGTTCTACCTTTTAACCACCAACTATTTAACTATCAGTACTCTAGTATTCTAGTATTTAAGCTACAATATGACTCACCAATAGCAGATCAACATCCTCAGACTGGTTGCATTGAAAGAGTTTTAAAATCTAAATTAATTAAATTCACATTTTGGGAGACTTTGATCTGTCAGTAAGTGTTGAAAGTCAAGGAATAAGGCAAACCATGAACACAATTTAGACTTGACGAAATTTAGAATACCCAAGTCATTTTGCATTAATGTTGAGATCAAACAGCGATCTTCCATTATTTCAGTAGTGTATGATGGGTAGTCGTGCTGGAGTGTGTAATGGAAGAACTCCATATGGGTGACTTACAATAGAGGGCATGTTGTTCTTGGCGCCAGGAGGTATCAGCACTCGGAGGTCAGGTTTGCGGTTGTTCATGCCGAGGTTCATAGGCGGAGGAGACTTGGTTTGCATGCTCTTGCTCATCCCACCCGGTGAGACCAGCAGACCGGGTGAGTTGCGATGGTTACCATATCCATTCCCTGCAAAGAAAAGAAATAAGTTCATACATATTGTGAGAAAAAGAAGCGCTGTGTTATTAAACTTTTTAGAAAACTCTAATGAATCTTGAGAAAATCTGTCGGCCCATGGCGGTACGAGCTAATTAGAGACCACAGGAATCCATTTTCACCTCACACCTTCTTTGTCTTTGGCTTCATCACCATTATCGTTTCATGATCGTGCTGCTACACTATACATTGGCATTGAAGTAATAATTTCAAAATGTCCCCCGCTGAAATAAACTTTCAATCTTCCATTCACACTTGACATGCAGAACTCAATCACCTCTGGAACTGTCACTAAAGGCAACACACGCCCTGCAACAGCCTGTATCGTATACAAACATCTAATTATGGGCAGGACGACCACAGTGGCATGGGACCTATCATTTGGCCATCAGAACTAAACACTTGCGGTTCCCCCAGACAAAAAGACCCCTGTTTTGTGGCTGCAGCTAAATCTAAATTTACTTGAGTACGGGGCGGGGGCAAGTGCAACATCCATCTTGCCATAAAAAACATAAGATCGTCAATGCAGTCAAGCGATCTTACAAGCGGCTTCTCGCAAAGGCTGGGATATTGGGCACTGTGTGGACCTTCCCACTTGAAAGACTAGGAATTATACGTTAGACATGAATTTCCTAATCATATACTCTGAGGGGAAAATGAGTCACAGATGTCTTCCTGGGCAATTTCCCTTGCCGATCTTTGTTTAATTTGAGAGAGTGAGGTTTTTTGTTGTTTGGAAATGAAGTCTCAAAAGCTCAATTGGAACAATCTGACGAGTAAATGGCCGCGAGCCGCTGAAGCAGCTTAACATAAAAAACAAGAACGGAGAAAAAGGAAATCGCTGTTGGGTGTTTATGCCTGCACTGCCGTCAACATATAGAAAGTGACACATATTTGGGCAAGCCGTATCATTACAGAGCTATACTGTAGACGCACGTGTGGTTTTTGAATCGGACCCTCGCAATATCTTCGCAAAGAGCCAGCTGCCTCTTCAGTTTCCCGCTCTTACATTCTCCTCATTGGCCCTTTGTGCGATTGAGTGGGTGCATGTGGAGATGGCTGAATGAAGACACGCACAAACACGCATCCATCCTTACAAAGACTTTGGTAAATAACCCAGCAGGAAGTACATTAGTGTTTTCTGTATGGATATATAAAAAAAAAGGAAAAGAAAAATAAGACGGTGATAGGGAAACGCATTAATATGGGCTTTGGTCAACTAGACATGGACCTCATCTCTGTGACAGATAATCAGACAGCTGTGTGTATTGCTGCCCTGTGGAGATGGCTACCTCCAGTCAATCATGTCGCCTGATAAGTCTTGGGGTGGGCCTTGAGCACCTTAATGGTAAAATTACAATAATTTGAAAAAAAAAAAAAATCTGCATTCAATGATTGAACAGTACAGTAAGTGGACAAATCATCTATGGTCAAACACACACTACACAATTTTGAACAATAGAAGAGGTCAGACATAATTCAGGGGATGAGGTGTAGCAAAATTGGAATTGGATGAACTCCAAATTTAGCCATACAGCATGCAGTATTTCGAGATTCATCTGTATGACTGAGATATCATTACTCCATCTGGCTTGGGTGATAGCAGAGCTACACGTCCAGATAATGGACTAAAGTGCGAGTCCGAAGGCCCCACAGTTGCACTGAAGAACCCAGGACACGTGTGAAGTCCCCACACATTTGCACAGATAAGGGTGTGGTTAAACGTGTCTATACTTTTACTGTTACAGAACGAATTTCTGATGTCCTGTTGTGGTCTAACAGGCGCTTTCCATTCTATTCCCCCATTCACACACTCTTCCGTTGCGGTTTGGGCAAACGTGCAATCAGCCCTGAGTTCTCCAACTGAAAATTAACCATAGTGTGTGTCTAGATATCACATGAGTCTATTTGGAGAGAATCTAACATGTAGAGGCGGAGTGAGGTTCGGAAATCCTAAAATGAAGCCACCACAGTTTAAGATTTCAATACGTTACTAGTACACATGCTGGGCCATACACACTGCTGGACCAGATAGATAGAGAAGTCTCGGCAGCTCTCAGGTTAAACCTAACAGTTTGTATCGCTCCATGCTGAGCCCCTCGGAGTAGCATCATGTAAGCGACTAGTGGAGCTGATGGAACTCTTCATCAGTGTTTCCCACTGTTTTCAGGCGCACACATGCTCCTCTTATCGGAGCATATTCTGTGTCCTCTCCTCCCAGCTCTTGTCCTGCCTCTAGATGAGTGCAAAGACTTTAAATGGAATCTTTAAGCTCTCGCATGACTCTCGACGTGGTGTTTTTCACTGCCGCTGCTGAGCGTGCACAGACCGCCTCTGTTCTTCTCTGTGGTGACACAAAGGCTACATTTGATGCCTGTCTGTAGCGCGCAATCGACTTAACACACGCCACAACAACCGGCTCCGTTGTGTGCGCATGTGTGTTTGTGAGTGTGATCAGTGACCAGACAGAGAAACCAGCCACTGACCTCTGCTGTGAAACCCTAGAGGCCAGAGCGGGCTGCCCAGCTGTGCCCCAATGCCCCCTCCCCAATATGCTATTCAGTGTATGCTATGGCTGTAAAATACAACCTCTCAAAAGGAAAGTTTCTGTGCCATAAACTTGTTTGACATATCCCCAGGGACAGACCCATTGACACAGAAGCCAACGTGTCATGATTTCACGCACATGTTGGCTTTCTACGGTCAGCACATCATTATTATAGCATGGTGAGCCCCCAATAACATTCAATTCATGTTGTTGGTCACATACACAAGTAATTACGATACCAGCGCTAAATAAAGCAAAGAAGCGCTTCCAAATGTAAGAAATAGATCCTTTGTGAAAGAAAAAGGGGACATCTTGTTCTGTTTAGACAGCTTGTCATTTAGTTTGCAGTCAATGTGTTTAGTAAGATATTGAGTTAGATGTATCTTTGAAGTTTAAAGGAAACAAAGGACATCTTGACTCGAACAGTTTCCAACACCACAAACCTAATGGATAAATAGTTTAGGTTTGACTAAGTATTTGTCATGCGTTTTATGGTCTCCACAGGGATGAGTGGGTGTCATGTGTGAGAGGATGATGAGGAGTTCTTACCAGCACTGGTCCCTGCACCAGTGGAGAGGTCAGCACTCATGAGGCCTCCTGAGAGATAAAAGAAAAATATTACATCCCACACATACGTCTCATCTTCAGCCATATGCACCCAGCTTTTAACAATACAAACATACCATACAAACAAACAATGCTCAATTTGGAAGATTAGATAAGATAGATAGTTGTAACTGTACTGTAACATGATTATGGCATTTTGTAGAGACAGCACAATTCAGTGTTGGGAGGAACAGTAAAATAGTATGTTATAATTTTAAACCAAGCAAGGTGGAACAATGAGAGTGAAATCTGTGGCTTGGTACCAGCGCTGGCAATGCCAAAACTATTATTTAGAATGTGCTAGTGCAAACATCCAGATGTAATGACAGGGGGACAGTGGTGTGGGCAGTAGACCCAAATCCAAACAGTCTTAGCATACTTGGCGGAAAAACAAACCTGCCCGACCAATTTGGACCACTTTGCTTTGTCACCAAAAACATCTTGTAATTGTGAATGACTAACTAAAGAGTGAAATAACAATATACGTATGTTTTGCTATGTGCGTTTGAATGGGATGTCAATATCACATTAGAAAAGTGTTGTTCCAAAGCTTTTCTGCCATTTCTACGTTGAATGTACATTGTATTTAGAGCTGTTCCAAAAAAACAAACGGCCACTATCTCAGGTTTGTAGATCGTGATTATAGAAAGCTGATTGAAATTGAGAGACGCAAATAAAGTAACTAAAAAGAAACCAATAAAGGGCTAAAAGAAGATTATTCATCAGGATGATATGTAGAATGGGGTTATACATCTTGCGTCGTCGCCATGTGGCAATTATGATTATAATTGTTTTTATTTTAAGAATTGTTTAACACTTAAATGGAAATCAAGCTAATTCAATATGGGGAAAGCAAATCTTCATTAATTTGTTTTATTTTTTTCAAAAGCCTAGCCCTAACTGCGTATGGCAAATCTTGATTTCAAAATCCAACTAACAGCTCACTGATACACAGACACACAATTACACACACGCACTCTCACGCATACGTTCACACACACAAGCACACGCGCCCAAGCTCACAATGACACACACGCACAATCTCACACACATGCCCACACACACACACACACACACACACACACACACACACACACACAGACTCACACACACATACAGTCATACACAGACACACTCTCACACACACATGCTCTCACACACACAGACACACACACACACACAGTAAAGGCCATAGTGTTACCTGCGCTGGGAGGTCTGTGGGTCACTCCGGGGGACATGCTGTTTCTCTGGAGTCCATGGTGTGTCATGGGCAGCAGGTTGTGGTTTCCTAGGGAACCTCCAGGGTGGCTGTAGATGAGATTGTTCTGGTTGCTTACAGGAATGGACACCGGCATGTCATAGTTGGATGGGGGCACAGCCTGTTGAGACAAAGAGAGCAGAGACAGATGGTGAGCAGGACTAAATATAATATTGATACAGTTATAATTGCTGTTAGAGGAAACTTTACTATTCCGAAGGTTGGTTAAACTTACAAAGAAGAATAATTTAGTAAAAGAAAACAGAAAACCATATAGTATTTTTTAATTGGTCAATTTGAATTGACTGATGAGTCAGTAATGTGAGTAGATTTACAGGGTTCCCTTAGGCGGCTAGTTTGTCATGTTTATTGTGTCACTTGGCAAAAAGGGTTTAACCTTGGGAGTGCCCTGGAAGTGGTGGCTCCTGCCTGTTAGCTTAAGGAAGTAGAAAATATACCCTCAAATTACTGCCATATGTCTTAAAGCAATATGGGGCTCATCAGAACGCACATCGGCAAGGCTCTAAGAGTTACAACCAAAGAACCACCTTCAATTTTCTAACCTCTGCTAATATTCTAGAGAACAAAAATATTTTTACAGCATACAGTGGAAACGATGGTTTCTATATTAGCAGCAGCAAACTTTTTTAATGAGAGAGGGAAGTAGACATAGGCTTCATGCAGTCGGCCCTCTACATTAAACTGTCCTTTAACAAGAGTTGTCTTTCCTGTTTTTGTCTCATTTACACAGCGTCCTCTCCAACAGACCCCTGCAATCCGGGGGCAGGGCTCTTGGCCCGTGACCACCGTGACCACGCTGAACTGCCACTTTGAGCGCATGCTGAACTACTGCACATCCACATCTCTAATGCAAAGACTCTTGTAAACTACTTTTTTATTCATGCAAATATTTGAAGGGTTAAGAATTGACTGAATGATCCAATCTCTATGTATGTGCTTTTCATATTCATAATTGTTATGGGTTTTAATCCTAATCAAACTATTGGATATAATGCATATATCTTACTTGATTGAATGAATAATATTCTGTTGTGGCAAGGCGAGGCCAAGGTGAAGTGGGTTTGCTACTACAATAAATGGCTCATCTGTAAGCAGCTTGCACACTTTTTTGTCCTCAACAATTGTATATGTAAATGAAATATGGAAAGAAAGAATGAAAAAAGGAAAGATGGACACACTACATCATTCTAGAAATCCATGCAGATCACATTATGATACAAGTCTCATAATCAAACAAAAGTGTGGTATTAGTTGTAGCCTTGGTGCATTGGGTTTAGCTGGGTTAGAGCTGATGTTTGCCAGTACGATCTTTATCTCACAGAGGATGCAGCCAGAAGTCCTCCAGGTACTTACAGGTATCTTATGGCTTTTAATCATGTGATCAAACTCCTCGTTTATCTGTTTATATTTCTCCTCAGTGCGTGGAGTGAGCATGAGCGCGGGCTCGAGCTCCGGGCTCTCACCACCTTTGTTCTCCTTCTTGTTCAAAGCCTGTCAGGTCCCACAACAACCACAGACAGATGGAGGAGGGATGGACACCAGACACACGGACACAGAAAAGAAAAAGGGCAAAGGAAGAAAGGTGAGGAAGGCTTGGCTTTATGAATGTACTTACACACAGTCTCTGTCTGCTGATCATCAGATCTATGTCGTCGTTTATTTTCCTGTACTTGTCCTCAGACTCGGGGCTGTGGCCGACCGAGTCGTCTGCGTCGGGGTCTGGGCTGTCACAGCCATTTAGGCCCTTCTTTCTCAAAGTCTGTAAACAAAGCATTTGCACAACACAAATTGAAGTGATTTGGGAAGAAAAACTGTGACCCAAAACAACTGTGTCGGGCAAATAAAAGACAGTATTTTATCACACAAGTCCTGAACACCAGGACTGAAAAAACATGTTTTTGTAAGACATAGATCATATGTGTATCATTTGTGTGTTAAAGTGTTAAACTTTGCTGAAGGTAAGTCGTCAACACATTATAGGATTCTCAAAGATTTTTTTTATCAGACATGAACAACTCATAAAAGGCACATAAAAAAAAAAAAAATGTTATGTTAAAAAAGAAGATGAGTGGAAGTGGCTGAGATCCTGACAGTGGAGTTTTGTGTATGGAGCAGTTTCTGTTTTGGCCACCTGATGGCCACCTGCCCCCATTAGAGTGTCCAGAACACAGCGGGCAGCACAGACCCCACCACTTACTCACTTCTCACTTACAAGTCAAATGGAACAACCTCTTCATTTATTTTGACTAGCAGAACAACGTGCTAGGTTTTACTGTAATCTTTTAAATATTCTTACAATTATCCGGCATGTTCATACGAATCCACGCTGCCTTCATTTACTTCATCAGACAAAGGAGAGAAAATAAGTACAGTATATGACACTTCTCATCAAAGGCCCCCCTCCTCAGCACCCCCACCCCCCACACTTCTCCTCCTGGCTTTAATAAAGGGAGATTAGTCTAGAGGAGGAATATCACGGGCCCGCTCCATGTCTGCTGTACAGCTTCTTCACAGTGCGCACGCCTGCTTTCATCTGGAGCTTCATATCAGACAAACGTAATTAAATTTACTTTAGCGCAACCTGTATTTGATGCCGATCAAGTGTGTGCGAAGTGTGCGCAAAGTGTGTGCGTGGAAAAAAGGGTGGGTTTTGGGGGGCGAGTGGGTGTCTGAAGAAAGGGAACTCGGTGGTGAACGAGCGATTGCAGGAAGATGAGGATGATAGATGCTGCGATAAGTTAATCTCGGTTGAACTTCGGCATCTCATTTGTTGTTGTCTCTGTCAGCGCTCAGTCACGTAGAAAAAGCGAGCTACTCTATCACACGCGCCAGTGACAGGGAAGAGTTCTGCTTGCTTAGAAAACAAATAACAAGCCAGTCATCTCTCATGTCAAGACAACAAAGGCCCCGTTTGGAGTGCGGTAGTGAACTTAGAGGGCTCCTTTTGTGAGAGCGATAACCGTTTGATTCGCCTAAGCGTGTCGACGTTCACGTTTGGCTCTCCCCTTCCGAATCCTCACTTGGCCTCCGCAGTGGAAATCAGGAATTCAAGAATGTATTTGAAAGCGCTCACATCTCTTGACAGACTTCGGGAAATCACTCCAAATAATGCGGGAGATCTGACATCCTACAGTGAACGGGCAAGTCTTGTAGTTCTTTCTGAGGTGGGTGAGTCAGATGAAGCAAAGGTTTAGCACGCTGTCTTTTTTAGCAAAGGCGTGAGATGTAAAACTTTTTCCCTGCCGCCTTTGTGTGCTGCCTGACGATGCATCATATCGAGCTGACAAGAAGTGAACCGGTGGCCCTTGTGTTCACATGAGGATGCATACACAAAACAACAACTCCTTTGGACTTGTATAGATTTCATCCAACCACCTACCGCCAATAAGACAGCTACTTTTAGTTGTTCACTAGTGAGAACCACTGGGAATCTTTGATACTGTACAATCTGGAAGAAGCTGGAATGGGTAATTTATACATTTGGTTTAAATAGTTAAAGATGAATGTGAAGTTTTTCCTCAAAACACCTACAGCAAAATGTTCTGTCAGGTTACAGGTGAAACCATGGATGTATTTACTTCTGTAATTCAACTTACAATGTGAAAAAAATCTGAAAATATTTTGGACATAGACTGTAAAGCCATAATCATCAAAATTATAACAAACACAGGCCCTGGCATTTGTCACTTTGCATGTAATGAGTCTATATCATATATTGGTTTCACATTTTAAATTTGATTACAGAAATGAATTAACTTTTGAACGGTTTTCTAAATTAAGATTTTAGAGAAGTGTCCAGAGAGGAATGAGAAAAGTTATTATGTTACACTGATTAAAGCTGAAATATCTAACTTTGTTTCTATCTTTTTTCTATATATATATTTGAATGTGGCTGCACACAAAAGACAACTATACAAAATCTGATAAAGCTGATCTATGTGACAGAAACCAAAAAACGTGTTTTGGGAACGTGTCAACCAAACTGATTTGAGAGTTTTTTTTTTTTTCAAATTTACAAGTGTTTTCTCATACTTTAAAGCAGGAGCAGATAAGCGCTCTCATTGGTGGTCTGGTAGAAGTTGTGTTGGGATAGTGTTATATGACTTTGAAAGCATTTGGCCTGCAGCTCAGCTTTCCACATGGAGGGTGCGGTGCAAGGGCATAATGCCACTCATCCCGGCTATGCCCACCTGTTTAAACACATCGCACCTGTTGCCAAGGCCCGACGTACACCACTGACCAATCACACGCTCTGGGCGCTTATATTGCCATACAAGGCCTCCTCTCCCTGGTGCTCCCAGCCTCCATCTACCACCCTTATCCACCGACGTTTATCTCTGTAACTTCCAGGCTTCTGTAGATTATTCTGTGAGCTTCCCACTATATGGAAGACATCAAAAGACATTCAATTCAAATTTAATATGCTGGAATAAGAGCTAAACTTCAATATTGAAAGAAAACACTAGTATGGATGTGAAGCGCTGGCATGGAAATCGGGTCTTTGGGGAATATGCTAATAGGATCCGGATTAAAAACACTGGTGTAGATGACGGATGCCAAGAATTTAGTGCACAAATATGCCCTGAATGATTCTTTTGTCCAAATAAATTCTTTTTCTAAGCAACCCAAAATGTGTACGGCTAACTTATGTTCACGATCAAGGCTTCTGTGTGTGTGTTTTTTAATCCATAGATTTTTAGAATAGTTTTTGTCCTAATTTACTTCAAGCTATCAAAGGATGCACAATTTTTGCATCTAATATTGAACAGACATTAACCTGAATTATTTGTTATCGGCAATTTAGGCAAAAAGAAAAAAAAATCTCATACTGTGTACATTCAGTATGAAGCAATTACCTTATACATAATTCCCACACATTACAGAACATTTTTATAGAGCTCTAACCTATAGTACAACCAGATTTTCTACTTTTTTTTTTCCTTTTATCTTTTACGCACAATTCTTACACACAGAACCCATTTTGACAGTTTTGGCTTATATAATTATGAAGGTGATGGACTTTGCAATGAGAAAATAATGTGTCTGTCGATTAACAAGATGAAATATATTTGCTTTTCTCCATTTACAAAACATTACAAAGAACTTAAAGAAGCATCTGCTAAGTGAGACCACAAAAACGCCCATTTTGATTCGATTGTGACTATAATGGTGCAGTCCTGATCTGTGGGGTCTAACTCACTAAAAGACACAGTGCTGTACGCGAACCCCAAAGAGGGACCGGTCCAGTGAAGTAAAAGTATATTATTCAGCATGTGGACAGTTAGTGGGGTGCCGCCTGATAAAACAGAGTGAGACGAGTGTATAAAAGTGTGGCAGGGAGAGTGAAAAAGCTGTGTGCAGTGCTGTTCATTGGCTCGGTGTCTTTCTCTGTGGTCCCTTCGGAGGCGTGCTCCTAATTAAACTCCTTCTTCATGACGCTCCCTCATGACTCGACTTGTCAGTGGGCCCGTGTGAAAGAAGGCGCAGCACAGACATGGCGTCCTACATACTTACACCACCATCTCATTTGTACCCTTCAACTCGCCTCATATACAGTATAGAGCCAAGCTGGTCCAGACTGGGCGAGAAAGCAGCCCAGCATGTACGGTTGACCCAGGTTTATTAGCATAGTCAATGATTTGGGGAAGAAAATAGGGTACGTTTCCATTTTAAGTCAAGTAATGAAAAATCCATCAATGTTGTTAGCTCAAAAGATGCTGTTTAGTGCTGTCAAAATGCAGAAGAATGTTCAACTGAATGAGAAAAATAATTGGGATATGATCAAAAAAAGCAAATTCTCCAGCTATAGCAATGGAAAGACATATACTAGATGCTAAAAAGTTACAGGGAAGCCATGGTTTGGTTTGGTAACGTTTTGGTTGTGTCTTGGTGGGTATGATGTAATGTCAAAGTGTGTTTTGTGTGTGTGGTTGTTTTTTTTTTGTCTTTGTTTTGCTTATGTCTCGGTTCTATTGTTTTATGTGTGTATTTGTTTGTCTTGACTGTCATTGTCTTCAAGAATGAAAAGAGACAGGTCGTACTTAACATGTTTGTTCTCCAAGTTTTAGGGGATCTTTTTAGAATACATAAACGTGTAAATCAGATTCATTTCAGATTCATTTTTATTGGAGTTCAAGCAGAACCCTAACCCACTGATTGCTAGGTGGGCAGCGAGATAAGGAAATTAAAATAAATGGATGAATCGGGAAGTTTATATTATAGTATTTCACTCTGTAATCTATATATAGACATGTATATACATATATAGAATAGAATATTATATTATGCGATAGTTGCCAGATACTAAACATTTTCACCACTTTGCTTGAGAATTCACCTTGCTCTGTATTTCTTCTCAAATCGAACATGTTTGGTTCACAACTTTGGTTCTGTTCATTTTTAAAACATTTCTATAAACTTTTTTTTGGGGGGAGTGATTTGCGGTGGGCCCAGGGGGGGTGACAGAGGAGCAGCTGACGCCTGCCCAGAGCTCTCAGCCCACCACGATCCTTCTGCTCAGTATTCTGGCACCCGACACAACCTCTCCGCCCCGACCGTCTATACTCCGACCCCATAGTTGTGTCTCAGTCTGCCACTCTGACCCCACTCTCCACTTTTACCCGCTTCTGTGGCATCTCCATGATAACAAACACATTGCTATGGTTACTTCAGATGGCCCCAGATTCCAGTTTTGTAAGCATCGAGTGCCATCAGAGACTATGCGGCCAGTTTTAGTCTTTTAACAGATGCGCAAACGAA